AATTGAATAAATTTTAGAATGCACAGTAAACATACTATGAGTTCCTCTCTCTTTCACACTGAGTGATGTTTAATCTATGCAAATGTACCAGAATCTTTGGCCGATTAATTCTATTACATTTCCAACAATACTCAGATTGTTCGATAATTTTTTTGAAAATATTTTTGAAAATTTTTCTCAGTGCCTTTAACTCTGAAAATAATTGCGTAATTTTGTAAAAGAACAATTTAGTATGTCAATTGAAATTTGACAAAACTGACTGAGAAACATTGAACTTCTAATATATTTTTCAATGGATGACTGCAAAAGACTCGAATTTAAACGTCATTTTCCGATGGAATGAAATGGAAAAGCCGCAAACGGACCTCGATCGATTCCGTTTGTTGCTGAAAGAATTGAAATTTGTTTCTGTTAACGTTTTCAGAGTCAAATCATTTTTTGCTTAAATGCAATCGATTTAAATATTTATTTTACAATCAATAAAGAAACATGAACTACTCATTGCTCAATTTATTAGCAATTAATTTCAAGCTGTTTCAATTCAGCGATATGTGATATTCAATTTGTTGTATCGCTTTGCCATAACTGAGAAAAGACAAAAAGTTGTATATTGCAAACAAATTGGACTTGTTAATGCAGCATCATACTGATATCAGTAACAACGATTTCTGATCCGTTGAACAGAGTATTTGTGACATTTGAAATATTAGAATTGAGTGACTAAAATTGTTTACTTTCACTTCACACTGTAAGTTGAGCCAATTCAATTAATATTTTAATTAACTGCTGTAAAGCCAGTTCACATGCAATTATTTTTTGTCCGATAGCAATTTTTAATAAAAGTGTGATGCAATCCTCTCCCAAACAAGAAATTAATACACATCAAATATTCAACAATGTCAAACTAACTTATTTTATCTTCAATTGTACTTTTATCATCACAATAAATCAATTTTCTTCAATACATTAACCTTTCAAAGCTATTTGTTTAATTCAGTTTCAGAGATGATTTTATTTGTGCATTACTTTCGAACAATGTCAATCGTAAAATTTTTGTAATATAAAAGATTTATTCATATTTCGATAAAAAATTTTCTTGATTTATTTAATTGTTTTAGAGAATAATGAATTTAGTATGAATTTTGCATTTGACTTTTTGTAAAAGTAAACAAAAAAATGCAATAAACTAATCATTAATATGCTATCACTTTATTGCTAATGCATTTATTTCAGCTTAATTACAGATCAAACTATATAAAAACTATTTTGTATACATTTGATGCATAATTAAATGTTTTATTGATATAATTAAATGCATTATCATATTAATGTTCTCTTAAAAAGCCATTTAAATCAAATTGCTAAACATTTATCATTTTCAAATAACGCTAAATTCATAAAATCATGAATGTTTCAATTTTCCAAAAATTTTCTCACTCAATTGGAACTTTTTTGAACAATGCATACTTTAAACAAAAACACTATAATTGATTAAAATACTTAAGATAATTGATTTAAATAAAACATCAAAGTCCAGATTCCTTCATTTCGATATCATTACCCATTAACCGTTTTTTGTTTATATGATATTGCGAACGACAATATTCAAATTTGCCTCCTTTGCGAAAATTTTCAGAATTCATTGGTTCGCATTCGCCTGAACACGCACGTGGACACATAAGAAATCTAAAATAAAAAAAAAAAGATGAGAATTATTGTTATTGTTTAAAATTAATTTTCAAATAAAATCTTGTTAAAAATTTTTAAAATAAGATTATAAAACTACGATTTATTGTTCCAAATGGAAAGAAAAAAAAAGCGTCGAGACCTCAAATTGCGTGTATCGGTGATCATTGTCAGATGGAACAAAGCATTGGAAATAATCAGTATGTATTCGCATAATGCATGATATGGTGGTACTGAAAATATATCATTGAAAGTAAGTGAGAAAATAGTTTATCAATTTGTTGAATTTGAAATTTAAACACTATTAAAATTAATCC